AGCCTGCTCCTCACAGCAGCTCAATTCACCTGTCACCATTCAACAGGGTGTTTACCCGTCAAAATAACCTCGCTTTTACCTGACACTGAAACGAAGATGCCGTAGATCTCGTGTTATTACTCTCCAAATGACCCAGACTCGAGCTACTAGCATGCAAACTCAAAGTAGCATTAGAATCCATTGAATAACACGGACGATGCTAGCAGGCTAATCCTGTGTGCTAACCGCTAGTTTTCGCGCAGCTGTCAGTCGTATTTTCACCTCAGGAGTCCGGAGTGGCGAATCCCGTCATCCCGGCGAGCATCTGGAGCTCCACATACAGACACAACAAAAACACACACCGCCTCTTTTCCTGTGTGTATGTGTGTGTGAATGTGTGTGTGTGTATCCTGCTCTTTTCCGAGTATTACCCAGCATGCATCATGGGCTGTGGTGTGGCACTTCTGGATTCTGACGTGTGTGGATTGGATGAAGATCATTTGGGGGATTTATTTATTTAATATTGAACATATAGTAATGCCGAACAACTTATCATCATACATCTTCACAGTACAATAACAGGTGCGAAAAGGAACAAAATAGACTCATAAAATATGACTTGTTCAAGCTACTTATTTAATATGAGTTGAACCAACGCAATTCTTAAGGGTTTTTTGGTGGGCAACTTAATTGTTTTATGTTCAGTCCACTTAAATTTGTAAAAACAGATTAAGTTGTGTTTGGACAACATGAAGGAGTTGTATGAAATCCTGCATTTCTTTATATTGTACATACATAAATAATTACAATTTATAAAGATAAATAAAATATGAAATAACTACTAAAATAAATGAAAGGGGCTTTTCCTGTAGTTTAAATATTTTTTATTTTTATCTATTTAAAAATTCAGTCTAAAGGAATTTATTCTAATAAATTTTATTAATTTATTCTTTATAAGTAAATTATTATTATTATTATTATTATTATTATTATACTTTAAAAATGTTGTTTTAATTTGTTTATTAAACAGAGTTTTGTTTCTTAGTGGTAAAATGTGTTGTTGATATCATACATCACTAATAAAAAAAATATAATACAATTTTATTCTAATATTTGTTATTTTAGTCAAAAAAGGCAATTAATATTATACTTTTTAATTAATAATCTACTTAAAAAAAACTTTTTTCAACTTTTGAAACTATTTAATTCATTCATTTTCCTTCAGCTTAGTCCCTTTATTAATCAGGGGTCGCCACAGTGGAATGAACTGCCAACTATTTTACCAAATGTTTTATGCGGATGCCCTTCCAGCTGCAATGCTGGAAACACCTATACACACACACTCATATACTACAGTCAATTTAGTTTTTTCAATTCACTTATATCGCATGTGTTGGACTGTGGGGGAAACCGGAGCACCAGGAGGAAACCCACGCCAGCACAGGGAGAACATGCAAACTCCACACAGAAACATTAACTGGCCCAGCCGGGACTCAAACCAGCAACCTTCTTTCTGTGAGGTGACAGTGCTAACCACTGAGCCACTGTCTCGCCTATTTAAAACTAAACTATGGGTAAATTGTTAAGGGTGTTTAAAGTTTTTGCTTTACCTGATAAATCAACAGATGGTCAACAAGCAACACTGCGTAAACATTTAACGTCATCATGTCAACACAAGGACTACACCAATGTATTATTGCACAGACAGCAGACATTAAATAAAGCCAGGCTCATTCTCTGAATGAAATCCATATGGAAGAGCACATTTCCATCCCCTGAAAGAGAAACAATAGAGAAGCAGCTCAACTATATGGACTCAATCCTGAGGAAGCAAAGCGGGAGATAAGCAAATCAGCAGGAAGCAGTTAAACACACGACATGCCGGAAGAAGACAGGATGAAACTGCACAACTCAACCATCCAGCAAGTTTGAATTGGACAATTATTAAAGATTTCCCAAACTCATATCAATATTCAATTCAATTCACCTTTACTTTTCATAGTGCTTTTACAATGTAGACTGTGTCAAAGCAGCTACACATAAAAGATCATAGTGAACTGAAACAGTGTCAGTCCAGTTTTCAGAGTTTAAGTTCAGTTCAGTTTAGTTCAGTGTGTTTAATAATCACTACTGAGAGTCCAAACACTGAAGAGCAAATTCATCTATGTGCAGCTCTACAGATCCAGAACCATGCAAGTCTGTGGCGACAGCGGCGAGGATAAAAAAACTTCACCAATTGACGAAAGTGAAGAAAAAAAAACTCAAGAGAAGCCAGACTCAGTTGGGCATGACCATTTTAATTTCTCCGCTGGCCAAACGTCTTGTGCAGAGCTGCAGTCTCAGCAGCAGAGGCTGGAGGCTGAACCTCAGCAAAGACTCTGTCCCTGGAGCGTCACAGGAATCAGTCTCATGCTCTCCTCTCCCCCATGACCACCACAGCAGCTGCTCAGGATACGGCCTGGTCCAGGATATGGACACCTTGGGATCATCTTGATGCTGGTCTTGGATAGAATCAGTGAAGCTGCACAGTCTGAGCGCCTCAGGATGAGTATCTCCAGATGGAAATTGACCTTATTCTAAAATGCGGAAGTGCGCCTGTTTTCACGATTGTCTTAGAACTTCCGATTCAGTCGCCTATGGGAGAAATGACTAGAAATAATAAACGGCAGAAACCGGTCAAACTACTCGCTCTACAAACAAATGTTTGCATGACTACACAGACCAAGTAGAATAATATAATAAGAAAATATCAAATTGCAACATCAAGCAGCGTAATGAACAGTATTTAACGTCAAAAAATGAATGAATGGAAGTGAATGAGACCGGAAGTCGAGCGACAAAAAGATTTAAATGGCAGCACCCGCTCGTCGGCGGAGAATAAGGTGAATAGGGAATAAAGAGAATAATTAGTGAGCTGCTGTTCATAGACATGCTGCATAGATATATACACTAGAAATCGCATACGGACCCTGAGCATGCGTCAATAGCGCCGCCACATTGGTACAGTGCTCCCAGGACAAATGTCATTCAACCGCACTAGTCAAGACAGTGTTATTACGTGAAGATGCCGGACTTTAGCGCTGTCTACGGGTGTAGTAACGAGCTAACAAAGAAAACAAAGCACAAAGGCAGAACATTTCATAGGTAATATTAAGTTGTTTTTTTTTATGTTTTTGTATGTTCTGAACTTTTGTGCTAATCAGGTAACGTTATTGATGATAACAGTCACTTACTGCATTCACCATAAGGCAAAGCAGCTCCAACTCGCACTAAACACTCGGCTTATGCTTGTTTTGTTGAATAAAATCAGCAAACAATGCAAAAGAAATATGACAACGAGATGCTGCGCTGCCAGAAACTTGTATTATTGTCGGCTAACGTTAGTGAAACAGTCGTTCAGGGGATTCATTCACAAACGAATCGCTCCCTCCGTCAGTATGAGAAGTGAAAGCAGGAGAGAAGCTGTGTTTCAGGACATGATCAGATCAAATTTAACAGGGTGGGTGAATAGTACATTTCTGTACACAAGCCTTTTGTCAGGAATGCCCGTGCAGTCACTGATCCATCAATGTAGAAAAGTGATGTAAAATTATAATTTTCGTAATTAGAAAAAAAAATTACATACTAACATCCAGGAAAACTCCCGATCACAGATATATGTGTATATGTGTATATTTCTGGCTTTGGATGGCCACAGTCCTCCACTGTACCTTGGTCCTGCATTCATTTCAAAGGAGCACTACCCTGTAGCAAAATGGCGGCGCTATTGACGCATTCCGTCCAATAGACAACAATAGGCCAGGCGACATCTACTGTATATATCTATGGACATGCGGTACAGGTGAATTGGGTAGGCTAAATTGTCCATAGTGTATGAGTGTGTGTGTGAATGTGTGTGTGGATGTTTCCCAGGAGTGGGTTGCGGCTGGAAGGGCATCCGCTGTGTAAAAACTTGCTGGATAAAATGGCGGTTCATTCTGCTGTGGCGACCTCAGATTAATAAAGGGACTAAGCTGACAAGAAAATGAATGAATGAATTTAGGTTTGCCGTGTATAGTGTATACAGTAGTGTATTCTAACCCAATTAGCTATTTCTGCTTACTTTAGGCCAAACTATACACACTATGCATCTAATTTGACTTTACTTGGAGGCTTCATGTAGAAACAAACACCTGCTTTATGAGAAATCAGTCTTGTGAACTCTTACGGTGTCTATCGGTGCTCAAAATCTGCCAGTCTCAGACTCTCGAATGACCTTTTTCTTGCATGGACTGCTTGGTGCGATTATGCATTCACAATGGTATGAACCATTATAGGGGTGGTCAAATTGATATCTATTATTTTATTTATTAACATTATTACTTAAAATACAAATCAAAGTGAACTCCATACATCTTGTTTTCATGTCCTTCAGGGGGGATCAAGCCTTAAGTAAGGGGGTTAGACCCCCCAATTTCCCCTGTAAATCAAACTCTAGGTGTAATAAGAAAAAATCAGTTTGCAACATGAAGAAGCATAATTAGCATAATGTCTAGAAATCAATAGAAGTAAATGAGACCAGAGGCGTCAAGCCAAAAAGATTTTAACAACTGCTTCCGCTCGTACATGTAATGTAATGTAATGTATTTTTTACTTAATGCCATGTCAGCAACCAAGGCTATTTTCATGGCAGGAATCTTTCAACAATAAATATACAATTTAAAAATCCACAAACAAAATAAAACCTAAATTAAATAAGATTTTTTGTGTAAATACATGATACAAATTCTAAATTCTGGTTTCACTTTGTTAAAAATGTCCTTAAAAGAGTTCATTTCATAAGAACGTCTTCTGGAATCAGTAAAAGCAGGACAGTCCAGTAAAATGTGTTCCGCTCGTACATAAGAAAACTTAAACTTAGATAAATGTAAATATGCACTCGTATATATTTCAACAAACAATACTATTTGTACAGTATCAGTCAGCTGTGTGTGCATGAGTGTGTGTGTGTTCATGCTGCAATCATCACTGATGACACAATATTTCTTTAATTAGAAGCCTTTTTAATAATTAACGAGGACATGAATTATGTTAACATGACACACTGTGACTCATAAATACACACACACACACACACACCAAAAAAGCGCTGGAATGCAATGATTTCTCCCTGATTTCCTGCTGGTCTGGAGGAAACAGAAGCACCTAATGGATTTCCTTGTAAATGCACTTGATTAGCTATAAGTGAACGTCAATGGAATTATAACATCACTATTCTCATTAAACACTCGCGAAATCTCAAAATCACCCTGTTTATCAACACATGTCTAGAAAATAAATAAATGTCTTTAATGCGTTTAACTGCTAAGCTGCTTGTGCTTTTATATTAAGACTTCATTTCTATCACTATTTACTGCAACGTGTATCTTATATCTTCATTTCTGCACCATAAAGTTGACACGATTTCAAAACTGGCCTCTCAGTGCAATGTTGTGCTTGATTTGTTGACTTGTGTTTTTAACATGCTTTAATTCAAATATAACTTCTCTAAAAATGAACACAATAGACGGTTAGTAAGCAGGTAAGTTATTTTAACATGTCACAATAAGCTTGCATTTGTTAAGTAGTTAAGGAAGCATTTTTTTATGAAACCTATCTCCATTCAGGTGGTGCGAAATCATCACATGAAGATATAATAAAATGCTTCTGTTCTTTATTTTGATATATACAGTTACAGTCAGAATTACTAGCCCTCCTAATAAGTTTGAATTCTTTTATATATTTTCCCCAATTTCTGTTTAATGGACAGAAGATTTTCTCAGCACAATAGATTTAATAACTCATTTCTAGTAAGTGATTTCTTTTATCTTTGCTATGATGACGGCACATAATATTTTACAACATATTAGTATTCAAGACACTAGTATTCATCTTAAAATGACATTTTAAGGTTAATTAGAGTAAAGTTAGTGTAATTAGTCAAGTCATTGTATAACAGTGGTTTGTTCTGTAATTGAAACTAATATTGCTTAAGGGGGCTAATAATATTAAGCTTAAAATGGTGTTTAAAAAATTAAGAACTGCCTTTATTTTAGTTGAAATAAATCAAATAAGACTTTATCCAGAAGAAAAAATATTATAGGAAATACTGTCAAAAATTCCTGAATCTGTTAAACATCATTTGGGAAATATTTGACAGAGGAAACAAAACATTCGCAGGAGGGTGATTAATTCTGACTTCAACTGTAATACTGTCATATATTTATAGCGGAAAATATTCAGAGGGCCGTCAAATTTAGGTCAAAATCATCAAAAATGCTCAAGAATTTATTTAATTCTTTAAAATAAATGCTGGTGGAAAAAGAGTTGATAGGGAATATGCCGAGCTAGCATGCTGATAAACTTCCGGTGACCTGTCATTGTGAACTTTTCTCCATTTTATACGGTTCCTTTTACAGTATCGATATTGTAATGTCATTAAAATACATTCAGTTAAATAAACTTTGGCATTCATTTAGTTGCTCAAGCGTAAAACGAGACAAAAAGCCGTTTACTCGCACGTGCCCGTCAGAAACGGCAGGCTAGCGCAGAAGCTCCATTGAATATAGTGGGGTAAAATAAATCCTCATATTATAAAGACATGGCGGGGGAAATGTAATTTAATGCAGTGCATCTTGTATAATCTGAGACCCGGATATCGGATATCACACAGCTAGTGGACATCAGTGATTTTTAAAGAAAACAGCCCTTAAACTCGCCGGTTTTTGCACTAGCATACAGTTCACCGGAAGCCCTTAACCCAGGTTACTGGCAAATTAAAAGTCCTGTTAGCATGCTTCGGCATATACCCCATCCCGCTGTGGCAACCCCTAATTAATAAAGGGCGACTGAAAAGAAAATGAATGAATGAATGAATGAATGAATGTGTCACACACTGTAACAAATGCATTGCTTTTTGTTCTTAAAGAGACAGTTCACCAAAAAAAAACATTCCTCATAATTTCCTCATATTGATGTGGTTTTAAACTTCAATTCTTCTGTTGAACACAAAACAGGATTTTCTTGGGGAAAAAGCATCCATATAAACTGCAAAAAAAAAAAAAAAAAGTTGATTAAACTTAAAACTATGAGGCGACTTGCAGTTTTTTTTTTGTTGACTCAATTTTTAACCTAAGTACTGCACCTTACTTGATTTAAGATACATCAATCAAAAAAAAAAGCTCTTCATCAAGTTGCCTTACAATTTTAAGTTGAGTTTTTTAATTAACAGTGCATAAACAAAGGCAGCATGGAGGCTCAGTGGTTAGCACTATTGCCTTACAGCAAGAAGGTCACTGATTTGAGTCCCAGCTGGGTCAGTTGGTGTTTCTGTGTGGAGTTTGCATGTTCTCCTCAAGTTGGGTTACCACTGGGTGCTCCGGTTTCCTCAACAGTCCAAACACATGCGCTATAGGGGAATTGATGAACTAAATTGGCCGTAGTGTGTATGTGTGTGAATGTGAGAGTGTATAGGTGTTTCCCAGTACTGGGTTGCAGCTGGAATGGCATTCACTGCATAAAACATATGCTGGAACAGTTGGCAGTTCATTCTGCTGTGGCGACCCCTGATAAATAGGTGACTAAACCAAAGGAAAATGAATAAATGTAGGAACAAAAACACTATAGAAGAAAATGGCTGTTTTTCTCCCAACATGTTTCATTTTTGAGTGAGCTGTCCCTTTAAGAGTAACAAAACTCAACCTTATAGTCAAGTTATTTTAAATGTTGAATTCTTCAGTGCATTATGAACTGACTCCAGCTAATATCCTAATAATTGAGATGCTCATAATAATGGAAGCCTCCTCACGGCTGAAGAAGAGCCTCCATGTTGATGGTTCTGGGGTTGATCTGGCCGAATGTTCTGCTGGTTTACAGTCTGTATTGCTGGAGATCAGTTCAGTTTGGTGATGGTCAAGCTGCCGCTGATCTGGATGGTGTCGATGGCGTTCAGCGGCATCACGCGGTGGTAAAAGTCGAAAAGCTGATGACCGTCTACAAGCACGAGGAAACGCGGATGCTCACAGTGGATCTCAACCTGCGCAAACACATCAGAAAAACAAACAATAATACGACTGGAGATAGTAGGTGTGATATATATCTTTAAATCGTAATCGTGTTACATATTCATTATCAGACTTCATATTCCCGTTTATCTGTATGGGGGATAAATGCAAATAATAAAAATGACTGCATTTTACTTCTGCAAAAAATAATCATTTAAATTTTAATGTTAAATGTGTTGTTTTTTTGTAGAGCTGCACAATATGGAGGAAAAATATGTGATTGAATATCAATATGGCAATAAAAAAAAAATATATATATATAAATATATAAATAAACAAATATATTAAAAAAATTATATATATATAAAATTTATTGCCAGGTTCTGTAGCATTCCTTTAATGCAGGGGTGGCTAACCGTGCTCCTGGAGAGCCACCTTCCTGCAGATTTCAGTTGCTACCCATATCAAACACACCTGAACCAATTAATTAGGACCTGAACACCACGTGGTAATTACAGGCAGGTGTGTTTGATATGGATAGCAACTGAAATCAGCAGGATGGTGGCTCTCCAGGAACAGGGTTGGCCACCCCTGCTTTAATGGCTAGAACAAAATATATTACATTTGCAGCAATCTGAAACCTTAAACAAATCAGAAACAGCATTATGAGAAGATGTAGGTATTAGGGCTGCACAATTCTGGCTAAAATGTGAATCACGACTTTTGTTGCTTAAAAATCAAGATCACGATCGTTTCTCACGATTCTTGAGATGTAAAATAAAGATTAATATGAGTAGGCTGTTATTATCGTTAATTCTCAAACACATCGTCACTTTGGAATTATAAGGTTCTCTCTGCGTTCTGAATGATTTTGAGATATTGAGCTTCAAAGTTTTTGCAATCCATATAGCAAACAGTATGTGTGTAACATTAGTTTTTTTTAAATAAAAGTCTTAAAATGTAAACTATAAACTGTCATTTGAAAAGAATCAATTACTCAATTTTGACAAAAACGTCAGATAGAATATTATAATTCTAAAGTGACGATATGGTAAAACAACACTAATAATATTAGACCTATCTATCATCCATCCATCTATCCATCCATCCATCCATCCATCCATCCATCCATCCATCCATCTATCTATCTATCTATCTATCTATCTATCTATCTATCTATCTATCTATCTATCTATCTATCTATCTATCTATCTATCTATCTATCTATCTATCCATCCATCCATCCATCCATCCATCCATCTATCTATCTATCTACCTATCTATCTATCTATCTCTCCGTCTGCCTGCCTGCCTGCCTGTCTGACTGTCTATCTATGGTTCATTCTGCTGTGGTGACTCATGATAAATAAGAGACTTATTCATTCATTCATTCATTTTCTTGTCGGCTTAGTCCCTTTATTAATCCGGGGTCGCCACAGCGGAATGAACCGCCAACTTATCCAGCAAGTTTTTATGCAGCGGATGCCCTTCCAGCCGCAACGCATCTCTGGGTAACATCCACACACACATCATATACTACGGACAATTTAGCCGACCCAATTCACCTGTACCGCATGTCTTTGGACTGTGGGGGAAACCGGAGCACGCGGAGGAAACCCACGCGAACGCAGGGAGAACGTGCAAACTCCTCACAACCGAGGCTCGACCCAGCAACCTTCTTGCTGTAAAGCGCCAGCACTACCTACAGCGCCACTGCTTCGCCCAAACAGACATCTTAGTTGATAAAAATTATAGCATTAATATTATTGAAATAATAACTCTGATACTGACCCTGAAGGGCTGCTCTGCGATGAAGGGGAAATACGGTATCGATCTCTCCTCGTCACCCCACTGGTCAGACACACAGGCGTTTCGCAGGATCTCCCGTTCCTCGAACCGCACACACATATCAAGAGCCACATCAGCACAGCCGCATGTCAGACTGATGTCAAAACTGACCCAGAGAAAACAGACAGAGATCAGTTACAAGTGTTACTTATTACTTGCTCAATACTTTGTTGATGCACCTTTGTCAGCGATTACAGCCTCAAGTCTTTTTGAATATGATGCCACAAGCTTGGCACACCTGTCTTTGGAAATTTTTGCCGATTCCACTTTGCAGTAGCTCTCAAGCTGTATCAGGTTGGATGGGAAGCGAGGTGTACAGCCATTTTCAGATCTCTCCAGAGATGTTCAATTTTGCTGCATTCATCTTTTCCTCTATCCTGACTAGTCTTCCAGTTCCTGCTGCTGAAAAACATCCCCACAGCATGATGCTGCCACCACCATGCTTCACTGTAGGGATGGTGTTAGCCTGGTGATGAGCGCTGCCTGGTTTTCTCCAAACGTAACGCCTGGCATTCACTCCGAAGAGCTCAATTTTAGTCTTATCAGAGCAGAGTGTTTAGTTTCTTATGGTCTGAGAGTCCTTCAGACGCCTTTTGGCAAACTTCAGGTGGTGAGTGGCTTCCGTCTGGTCACTCTACCATACAGATGCCTGATTGGTGGATTGCAGCACAGATGGTTGTCCTTCTGTAAGATTCTCCTCTCTCCACAGAGGAACGCTGGAGCTCAGACAGAGTGATTATCAGGCTATTGATCAACTCCCTGACTAAGGCCCTTCTCCCCTGATCGCTCAGCTCAGATGGCCGGCCAGCTCTATTAAGAGTCCTGGTGGTTCAAACATCTTCCACTTACGGATGATGGAGGCCGCTGTGCTCACTGGAACTTTCAGAGCAGCAGAAATGTTTCTGTAAGCTTCCCCAGCCTTGTGCCTCGAGACAATCCTGTCTCGGAGGTCTACAGACAGTTCCTTTGTCTTCATGCTTGGTTTGAGCTTTGACATGCACTGTCAACCCTGGGACCTTATATAGACAGGTGTATGCCTTTTCAAATCATGTCCAATCGACTGAATGAATTTAATCCACCTTGAAATAAGGCTGTAACATAAAAACATGTGGAAAAAGTGAAGCGCTATCAAAACTTTCCAGATGCACTGTATTTACCTGTCCGGATCTGCGCTCACAACACCCATGATGGTGATCTTCTTGCCAGGTCTCAGACCTCCACGGATCCCTCCACAGAACGGCACGGCCTGAAACACACACAACACGCACACACGCACGCATACAATCACATCACAGACACACACACAATCACATCACGTACTATACACAGTCACATCACAAACATCACACACACAACAACATGCAAATCCAAGCACAACAGCCTTTGCTTTCGCCTTTACCAGTTTCTGCTCATCTCTTTGTGGTGACTGAAGCTCCCCGAATGAACTGCTCAGATTTCTGCTCCTCTGTGATGTATGAATGAGGCGCAGTCATGATCAAAAGAGGCAAAAAACAGGATAATTATTACAGACTGCTGGAAAAGTTGATTCACACACAAGTCTATCGCAAAAATCATACAAAAAACAACAATATCTGGACTTTATTTTGTCCACTAAAAGTGAATGAGTTCTCAGACTAGACATAAAGTACAGAAATTATTTAATCACTCCTATAGTCATCATTTATTTTAATAAACACCATCTTTCTGAAAAAAATCATATCTGTTCATATGCTCAAATCTTAGAAAGCTTTTACATATTTATGGCCTGCTGTATTTCTGTTCTTTATTATAAAATAGAAAACTATTTTGTATTTTTTAGATAATTAAAATATTTGTTTTATTTGCTTTTTTACAAACTGCATTTTATTTTTTTAGATTCATCTTGTGTGTGTGTGTGTGTGTGTGTGTGTGTGTGTGTGTGTGTGTGTGTGTGTGTGTGTGTGTGTGTGTGTGTGTGTGTGTGTGTGTGTGTTTGCTGTAATTTGTGTGTTGTTGTTGTGTTTCAGACCCTCAGTGGTATCCGGCTCGACAGTCCATCCGCTTGGATCCCAGTATGTGTTGAATTATTCCTCCTCATCAATTTAAAATCTCCACTCTGTGTCTGAACTGAGTGTTGTTCAGTTCATTTACGGTTAACTTGAGAAGATATTCCTGCTGTTCTTGCAGTTTTTATGATGAAGTATTTTGTAGAAAGGTTTACTGTGATGCAGCTTTCTGCTTTATATAACACAAATATAAGATTATCTAGTGTCTCATATTGATTTTGATGTTAAAGTATAAGCACAGTCCTGTTATACTCACCGTTTATGCACTCTTAGGTGGTTTCAAACCTGACTCACACAAAAGGAAATAGTTTGAAGAATGTTTGATAGCAGCAGCCATTGATTTCCAAAAAAAAAAAACATACAATGGAAGTCAATGGTTACAGGTTTCTAACTTTCTCAAAATGTTTTCTTTTGTGTTCATCAGAAGTAACCACACACACACACACACACACACACACACACACACACACACACACACACACACACACACACACACACACACACACTGGTTTGGGACCACCTGAGTTTGAGTTAATGCTGACAGAATTTCAGTTTTCGCTGAACTTTCACTTTAAACCTGTAAGAAGGGGTAAATATGAAGGAATATTATTACCCTCATTGGTGTCTTTTGGGTTAAGGTTTGCTGGTGTGTGTGTGTGTGTGTGTGTGTGTGTGTGTGTGTGTGACTCCATTTTAATTCATTCATTCATTTATTCATTTTCTTGTCGGCTTAGTCCCTTTATTAATCCGGGGTCACCACAATGGAATGAACCGCCAACTTATCCAGCAAGTTTTCACAGACCGGATGCCCTTCCAGCCGCAACCCATCTCTGGGAAACATCCACACACACACTCATACACTACGGACAATTTAGCCTACCCAATTCACCTGTACCGCATGTGTTTGGACTGTGGGGGAAACCGGAGCACGTGGAGGAAACCCACGCGAACGCAGGGAGAACATGCAAACTCCACACAGAAACGCCAACTGAGCCGAGGCTCGAACCAGCGACCTTCTTGCTGTGAGGCGACAGCACTACCTACTGCGCCACTGCTTCGTCCTCCTTTTTAATTAATATCCTTAAATTAAATTGTATTAATCAAAAAGCTTGTCTAATTAAATGTCAACATTAAACATACGTTGACTTGCATTTGGCAATTTTTGCGATATACAATTTTAAAACCTACACAGGAGCATTTTGAATGAAATACGATTCATGTTTGTCTTCATCAAATTCAGATTTATTCATATTTTAATTAAATCAAGTACAAAATGAGTGATATTATGATATTGGAATACTAATTGTAGATATTGTTATTATTATTATTAATAATAATAATTCGTTCATTTTCCATCAGCTTAGTCCCTTTTGTCATCAAGGGTCACCACAGTGGAATGAACCGCCATTTATCCAGCATATGTTTTACACAGAGGATGCTCTTCCAGCTACATCTCAGTACTGGGAAATTCACACACACACACACACACACACACACACACACACACACACACACACACTATGGTCAATTTAGTTTATTCAATTCCCCTAAAGCCCATGTGTTTGGACTGGGGGAAACCGGAGCAGCCAGAGGAAACCCACGCCAACACGAGGACAATATGCAAACTCCACACAGAAATGACAACTAGCCCAACCGGGAACTAGCGACCTTCTTGCTGTGAGTAGGCATGGACCTGTATAAATTCTGGCAGTATGATAACCTTGGATAAAACTATATCACGGTTTTAAGGTTTAACGGTGTTGTGATCACTGCTCAGAAATATATTATTTTAAAATGTCTGGGTATAAAAACACAGTTTGCTCCATGTTTTATTTTAAGAAACCTTTAAAATATTTCACCTTTTTATTTTGAACATGTCAGGCTTAACAGTTTAAATAACTCACTGACCACCTTACAAAACCTTACAAATACCTTAGGAACGGTATTTAAATTTTTTTTTCAAAACCTTAACTTTTCCAAACCGCAGTAGGCCTTGAGATTGGTTATCGTCCCATGCCATAGTGGTAAAGTTGGTTTAATATTCGGATATTCAGACATTCTCCTTAATATTATAATTTCAGAATTAAATTCTAAATAAGGAAATAATATTAGCAGCCAATGACTATTAAAGTACAGCATTGTTCACAGTGAATTAGATAGTGTTATTGTTGTTTAGAAGTCATACTTGCATGCTAATTCCGACTGAATATTCAAGGTAACGTGATAAACAATATATAGACTGCTAAATGAACAAATGTGCGAATATAAAACAAACTTTACCTCTATTCCCATGCCTAGCTGTGAGGCAACAATGCTAACCACTGTTCAACTGTGTTGCCCCTTAAGATGATAATGATAATATGTAGTACTAGTAGTAGTATAAGAATAATAATAGTAATTATCAGGCTATTTTTATTATTATTATAAGCATGCTCTCCTGTACAAAAATAATAAGACCATCCTTAGTTACAATTCCTTCAAATTAACACAATTTTTAATATAGGATTGTTGTTAAAACACTGTACATGTCAATATGTGCCCAAATATTTATTTTATAAACTACTCTTTGGCTTCACAGATCATTATAACGCATTAATGTTGCGCATTTCAAGTTTCCCCGTCATCTCCTGAGTTTGACAGCTTCCCACAGACTTCCACTGTAGGAGGAGCGTCAGCATTCTGCTAAACATCTTCTACTACACCTATATATTTACAGCAACACATAAATTGTGAGTTAAACGACGACAATCTTTGTTATGGTATATTTCGGGTGTGTTATTCATTGTAAAGCAACACTACGCGCAGATTTTCGAGTCAGCTGGTCAAACTTGTTTCCGTGTGTGAAGCAGGCTTTCAGAAAACCCACGTGACGTCACTCCTGATTATTTAAATACTCACAAGTTCCTGTCGGACCGCGCTTAACTCCGCCATCTTTCACGCAGATCCAGCATGAGAAGCCCGGTTTTGCTCGGTTCTGCCCGGTATGAAATCCTTGACACACACGGATCTCCCGGTTCGCATGAGTTTCAGGCGGAGGAACGCAGAGAGACGCGTCCGACCAATCATAGCGCGACCTGCCGGTTTTGCGTTGTGACGTAGGCACTATGTTAATCCGAGCGCTTTCTAAAACTAATTAATCAGCTCTAATGACTTTAGTCTTTGTTTATCCTCATGAGACTCAAAAATATTTTGGGTTTTACATAAGATATATGTGTGCATTATATATATATATATATATATATATATATATATATATATATATATATATATATATATATATATATATATTACTAACAGCAGCTTCTTATTACTAACTTGTTTGCCTTATTTTAAACAAGGACCAAAGACTCTGAATTGAGTAAATTTTACTCAGAAGATTTTGCTGTGTGTTAAACATCATTTAGGGGGCTAATAATTCTGACTTCAACTGTATGTATATATATATATATATACACACACAAAAGGAAAGAAAAGAATGGAAAAATAAGGAGGAGGAGGGCAGGAGAATTAATAAAAAACAAGGAAAGGTTTAACTCTTCTAAAATATCTAAAATAACCGAAGGGTCCATCTTCTTCATGTGATCTAAAACAGGTTGCCAAGTGAGAAAAAAAACTCTTACAGTGTATTGTATTTTTCTATAAGCCATTGCTTAAAGGTTGGAGGATTTTTTTCCTTCCACTTGAGCAATATTAATCTTCTAAGTGTAGCAAGGGCAATCCCATGTATCTTGTATTAAAACATAAGGACTGTGGTGTGATATTGAAATTATGACCTCGGGTTCCATATAAGCATTTAATGCATCAGAGAGAAATTTAAATATTAGCTGCTGGAAATCCTTTAATTTTCAACAAGCCCAAAACATATGGGATAGTGTAGCTGGCTCAATATTACATCTGTCACAATTAGGCTCTATATTCGGTTTAAATTTGGCTAGTTTCACTTTGGATCAATGTATTCTGTGTGCTACTTTAAATTTAATAACTCTATGTTTTAGACAATTTAAAGATGAGTGAATATAATCTTAAATAGATTGCCACTCGTCTTCTGATAATGTCCAGTTCCACCTCCTCTTGTCAAATATGGAAGTTTTAATTTTATTTTTAGGGTTAATTTCGAATGTTTAAGTATTGATGTTATTGTGTGTGTCTTTTATCAATACTTTGAATTAATTTGTATATTTTTATACAACATAGTCATACATATATTTACATATACAAAAAATATACACATTATGCACAAATACATATTTTTTAAGTATGAACTTTTAATTTTTTCTATCCTGCTACATTTCTTTCTCATTGAAAGTGGAGAAACATCTGATGCAAAATTACATAAATGAGCCTCAAACTCAAGTCCCTCAAGCTCTGATGACCGAGCAGATGTGCAGCATTTAACATCTCAGCAACACATGAACACAGCAGACAGACTTCACACGGCTATAAAATATAAGTGGGATGATGATGTTGAGTAATAAATAACACCGATTTAAACCACATGTACTCTGGTAACTCCAGCCTGCAGTTGCGTAAGAGTCAAATTTGTTAACATAAACTAAATTAGAGGAAAACTGGAGGGAAAGAGGGAAAGGCTTTCAGACAAACTGAGCTGTTAAACAGTCTGTAACTCATGAAAGAAGTATTATATACCGTGCTCTTGGAAAGTTGTAGTGATTTTACACATGACTGATAATCTGTCTATTTAAATCAATGTAAATAGGGTCCCGATGTTTTGTGAATGTTCATACAGCAGGTGGCGGTATAGAGCAACTCAGATTCTGTCACACAGTAAAACAGCTATCTATCTATCTATCTATCTATCTATCTATCTATCTATCTATCTATCTATCTATCTATCTATCTATCTATCTATCTATCTATCTATCTATCTATCTATCTATCTATCTATCTATCTATCTATCTATCTATCTATCTATCTATCTATCTATCTATCTATCCATCCATCCATCCATCCATCCATCCATCCATCCATCCATCCATCCATCATCTATCTATCTATCTATCTATCTATCTATCTATCTATCTATCTATCTATCTATCTATCTATCTATCTATCTATCTATCTATCTATCTATCTATCTATCTATCTATTTTTTTATTATTTTGTTTTTGCAAAATATGGCCTTTTATATTTTTTACCATTGTAATTACACATATATACATATATGTTCACTTCAAATATATGAATAATAATTATATATATATATATATATAAATATATATATATATATATATATATATATATATATATATATAAGAATAGAAACGCCAACTGACCCAGCCAAGGCTTGAAACAGCAACCTTCATGCTGTGAAGCGACAGCACTACCTACTGCACCATATATATGGGGGATGTGGTGGCGCAGTAGGTAGTGCTATATATATATCCGTACAGCCTCTTTACCCTTTGTGTATCACTCCCCCCACATACAGCCAGCAACAACCAGACACTAGCAGTTTGACAAATATTACTGCTGTTAGACAACAAAATATACTTTTTAGTCAAGAATGTAGTTGTTAAGATTGCAACTATGCAGTTTATTTGCAAGAATAGTGCCTATTTTAAAATATATACAAATTTGACATTGTCTATCCACAAGATGGAATCATAACCGCATAATAAGCCCTTGCCCATTGTGTTCTCTTGAGCGCATATAAGAAGCTGAAAAACGTAAGCCTCGTGGTTTTTAAGGTGGACCGGATAGAGTCAATAAGAAGCTGGATTCAGCCTTGTTCTTCCTTATCGCAAACACAACAGCAGTCTGGTGAGAAATCTCTGTAGACGGATGGCATTTCATGTCACGTTCAGCCCTATAATCTTGTGAGCAATATTAGCTGTTTTGTCATCACCTTAAGGGGGTCGCACACCAGAAGTGCCGCTTCACATTACGCTATAGAGAATCATTCAAATATTAGCTCCAAAGTGACGTTGATGAATTAGTAATGGCTTCTGCTGTCCTGACCTCAGCTGCAGATGTGAATGAATGGCGGAAGAAAGTAGTTCCTAATACAAAAGGGTTTTAGACTCTCTGTGTTTGATTTTCTTTTTTATGTACAAGATTGTTCCGTCGAACTGTTGTATAAACGCAATATCACACTCGTAGCAGTGTGCTATGGCTGTATATCAGCACTGGTGGGACGCCTCCCACCAGTAAGCAGCTGCTCAGGGCCCCAGGGAATTAGGGGGCCCTGACCAATCATAAGAAGCCTATATTAATCATATAGCTCTTTTATAAATCTATGTTGTAAAATTTGTCCATAACCATTAATATTTTAACGTTATCAGTCTGCTTCTTTTCAAAACTGTACATGCAAATAATAAAATCTAATCTCAATTATGGCTAATTAACATAGTTTGTGAACTTGTTTTTTATTTGTGACTTTATTGTATTTAATTTCACATTAGAAAGATAAAGGTTCCACTTAATAATATATATATATAATATATAATAAACATGCAGTTCATTTACAAAACAAAACAACAACAGAAAGCTAATCTACAGAGAGAATAATATCGATAGTGAATGAGAACGTTTTGAGTTTCAATGCTTGGGCCCCATAGCTGGAATTGCTTAGGGCCCCCAAATCACTAAGTCTGCCTCTGTGTATGTAGTGAAGTAAAAATAGAAAAAACATAATATTCACTCTAAAATACTGTTAGCAGGCAACTAACTCTCACATTATCGCCTACTGAAGCAGACATCCCAGGTTGGGAAAAGTAATTTCCATGGGAGACAGAGATGATTTGCGGGAGTTTGCAGGAGATCGGTGGGGCGCGACATATCTGGGGGGGTACGTGACGTATTTAAAGAGCAGGGAGTGATGCAGTGTAGAAGGGTGCGCAATGTATTTGAGGACCGGGCGGGGAACACGCGACTTCCAGGAGATTATCGTTTGTTTGCCGGCATCTTGTAGGAATTTCTGGGAGACTTGGGATGTCTGCTGAAGCTAAGCAGGGTTGTACCTGGTCAGTAGCTGAATGGGAGACCACATGGAAAAGCTAGTCTGCTGCCGCAAGTGGTCTTGGTGAGGCCAGCAGGGGGTGCTCAACCTGTGGTCTGTGTAAGTCCTAACACCCCAGTATAGGGAAGGGGACTCTATACTGCTTACTGACTGCTGTCATTCTGATGGGATTTTAATTTGAGGTTCCAACTCTGTGGTTGTGAAAATCACAGTATGTCCGCCACGAAAGCGTATGGGTTTAACCTCGGCATCCTAAAACAATTTAACAGCCGAAAATGTTATGCTATTTAATGAATGCTCAAATTTTTGTGGCTTCAGTCATTATTGGGATACTTTTTAAAATCCCAATAGCATTGTTGGTGCTATAGCCTGGTGGTTAGTGTGCTGATGTGTGATGCAGTAGCATGTCAGGGCGTCCTGGGTCCGAGTCCCGGCTTGGGGACATTTCCCAACCCAATCCCTCTCTCTCTCCCACTTCGTTTCCTGACTCATTACTTTCATTATAAGCAGTAATTTATACATAATTATAAATTATCATTCAGTAAGGAAAATAATTATCAATATTGCATTTTTGCCATATTGCCCAGCCCATTTTTGACCCAGGTCCAGACTCTGTGGGCATTTAACATCCCAGGATGTCCTTCAAAAAGAGTAGGGGCTTAACTCCGGCATCCTGGCCTAATTTGTCCACTGGCCTCTATCCATCATGGCCTCCCCATATCAATATTGGCTTCATTGCTCCGTGTCTCCTCTCCACCAATCAGCTGGTGTGTGATGTACAGTCTGACGCAATATGGCTGCTGTAATGTCATCCAGGTGGATGCTGCACACTGGTGTTCGATGAGGAGATCACCCCAGTGTCCAGAAAAGTGCTATTTAATATAAGGAATTATTATTATTATTATCAGTTCACTGTTGCATAGACTTTATGTTATCCCAACACAACCCGATTACTGTAATTTTTCTTTTTTAAACAAATTTAAGTGGATTGAACAAATAAGCTGTGCCCAAAAATACTCAAGAATTGTGTTGTTTCAGCTCGATTTAA